TATATATATATATATGCCTGGGGATGCAGAATTGGATTCAGCTCTCTCTAGCCGCCCCCCGAATTATTAACGATGCGCCGGATATAAACTACGAATTAGGCACCGGAATCAAATAAACGAAATTCCGAAGCCTTGAACGTCCTGATCCAGGATCTTGGAACCTTGCCCTTAGCACTCCCCCCCAATAATGAAAATGCATATTGCAACCTGGGGAGGTACCCCCCCTCTGATTCCCAAAAGAGTAAGAGGGGGATCCTACACCCTGACTCCTGACCCCACAACCACGAGTCACGAGTCTGGCGAGGGAACGCGGCAGTGTTAAGGGCCGAGTTTGGCGCTGTCGGCTTGTAATTGAAGCCTAAGGCCGTCTGGAGTTTGTCGAAAGAGGCCTCGTTGATCCGAGTCTTTTGCTCCTCCAGGTAAGCCATCGTGTCAGTGATAGAGGCCGGTGTGTGGAGTCTGAATCTACCAATGTCTGTTTCCAAACTCGATATCTGTGTGCCACGACTTCTTTCAGACACCGTGCTTTTGTGGTCTGTGGCATTCTGTCATGCCACACAGAATCCCTTGTTGCACAAGGAGGCCTTGATCGCAGCTTCGTCGCTGATCAGGATTCGAAGCTCTGCAAAGAAGAGCTTGCTTGCACTTCCAAGGAAGTCCAGCACCAACCCATATCGAAAATTCGGAGTCTCAAAAAAAGCTGTTTTTGCCTGGATCTGACCTACAAACTTCGAAGGCCTTGAAATCGGCGGGGGTTTCCTTTCAAATTGGGGATAGAGTGACCCTGCTACTTGAAGTCGCAGATTGGGTCCCATGCTTTCTGGACCCCCCAAAGACACCTTGGTTCATTGAGGCCGGGATAAATCAGAATAAGTGATTCTTTCAGTTTGTCGCACGGGTAAGGATTCGAAAACATTGGTGTCTGCTTCAAAAACTCCCTATGGGCCTTGCCTCAGGTCGTACTGCTCGGGGTTCGGATGGATGACAATACCGGAAACCGCACCCTGAAAGGGAACGACGACTTCGCAAAGAGGCTTGGCCTCACTTTCAGGCCTCCAGGGTCTTGTGAAGACTGGGCAGCTTGCTCTCCACTCTCGACCCAGCCGCAGAACCTGATCATTCGATGTCAGCTTAAGGCCTGGCCTCCTTGCAGCCTCGCTGAGGCTAGAGCCTTCCGTGCCGAATAAACCCGGGCATAAACAATTTTTGCACTGACCATGAGCACTGGACTAGCAGCAGGACAAAACGAGGAAGTAAGAGAAGCACCTACACGTGAGTGTTCACGCTGGTTTCTCAGCCCAAGCGAACCAAGTTCACAACGGCCAAAGCCAAGTGGTCGCCCAAGGGAGGAGTGCAGCGGCCACCGCCTCCACGTAGAGTGGCGGCGAGCTGTTGTCCCAGGCGATGAACGGCGACATGTCGTCGCCAAACCGTGGTGGAGCTTCACATGTGCTTCTGCGCTCTTGGCGAGCACTTCCAAGCAGACGTAATTCCTGGAAGGATTTGATTGGCGAGGATCCAGCGTGGACAGAGAAGAGAAGATGCTTGAGATGCCTCTGTGCAGCTGCTCGTGCCAGCTTCAACGCAGATGCCAGGAGTCGGAGGTGCACAACTCACCAAGGCTCGTCTTCCAAAGTCGACGGGATCACTTGAAGGGGTCGTTGCTGAAGAAAGGGAAGGGCTTGTAAATTTCCTGCACCCAGGAATACACTGATTCAAGGCTACGTCGTGAGAGAACGGAGATCTCGGCACAATCTGCACTGTGGCGGTACCAGCCGCCAACTCAAACCGGCCCGATGCTGCCTTCCCGTCCGCCTTGTTCTCCACCTTTTTCACTACCTGGCTCGGACCAGTGCAGCGAGCGGTGCCAAGAAGCAACGATATGGATGGCTGTCACAGCGCTTCCTGAACACAAGTGGCTGCACTGCCCGCTGCGTGGTTCAAGGATCGGCCTCAGTGTCAATTTTGGTGCGACTCCCGGTGCCCTGTGCTTGTGCAGCGAACATGAGTGAGCAGTGGTATGTTGCCTTCTACGAGACCGAGTGGAACCACCTCGTGCAGCAGTACGCGACCAAAGGCCCTGCTCTGGTTTCTGGGGTCAAACGCGAAAACCCCTGAACCCTAAAGCCCTAAAATCATGAACCCCTGAATCCTATTTTACCCGCAACCCTCAACTCGTCAAGCCCTATTATAGGAACCCGTAAAGGAGCCCACTACAGGAACCCCTAAGGGGGCCCCTAAACTCCAAACCCTAAACCCTGAACCCTAACCCGCCGAGACCCCTCCGAGAACTCCGAGCCGCGGTGGCAGGAAACCAGAAGATGCCCACCAACGACAAGATCTGACGGTTTAGGGAATTAGGGCTTTTGGGGCTTAGGGTTTTGGGGTTTAGAGTTTTGGGTTTAGGGGCTTAGGGTGTTAATGTAGGGGCCTTAATATTCTAACAGGGAGCCCCAAAAATAGTAAAGGTACTTATGAAGGCTCCTATATTAGGGCGTTAAGGCTCTAGGGTTTTAGGGTTTAGGGTTGTTGGGTTTTGGGTTTTTTGGGGTTAGGGCTTTTGGGGTTTAGAGTTTTGGGGTTTAGGGTTTTGGGGTTTTATAGGGCTTTTGGGGTTTAGGGCCTTGGGTTTTTGGGGTTTTGGTGTTTGGGTTTTGGTGTTTAGGGTTTTAGGGTTTAGGGGGTTTAGGGTTTTGGGTTTTGGGGGTTTAGGCTCCGCAGTGAAAGACTTGACCTGAATCCCACGGTGCTCCGTTTAGGGAACTCATACCCCAAACCCTCAACCCCAGACCCATTTTGGGGTGCGCCGTTTCGGGAACCTCTAAGTCCCTAAACCCTAAGGCCCTAACCCTTAAGTCGGTGTAAGGTTTTGGGTTTAGGGTTTAGGGTTTAGGGCTTAGGGTTTAGGGTTTAGAGTTTAGGGTTAGGGTTTAGGGCTTAGGGGCCCTTAAGTTCTTGTAATGTCCGATTTTTCTTTGGGCTCTCCGGGTTTCGCGAGCCTGGAGGAGGAGGAACTACGTAGGGTTGTACGTCAGGTAGCCATAGTTATCTTTACTTACGACCCCAGTTTAGGTAC